GCATGAATAAGTCGATAGATAAATAAATGAATAAACAAATAAATGAATAAATAAATAAAAGAATAAAAGAATGAATAAGTAGATAGATGAATAAATGAATGAAAGAATTATCGAAAAACGAATAACGAATAAATAAATAAATACAGTGCAACCTCTCTATAACGACCTTCGATATAACGACATCCTCTGTATAGCGACATGGTGCCCAGGTCCCAATGTTTCCCTTATATATCATTAGTAATATTTTGGTTGCCTCTCTATAACGACATTTTTTCTTGTGCTGTCGATGTCGTTATAGAGAGGCTGCACTGTGAATAAATAATTAAATGAATAAATGAATGAATAAATAAATTTAAAAAACAAATAATATCGGCACATATATTATGACCCTATTGTGTTGCAAGTGCCGTTAAACTTTTACTAAAACTTTAAATACAAAAAAAAAGAAAAGAAATTCGAAACAAAGACGTTCTAGAATAAAGTGATGGAGCTCACGGAAGTGACGTCATGCGTGTCAGACATGGGCGGGGGGACTTTTTTCGACTCAAATAATTAATATATCTGGCAACTTGGAAACACATTTCTCACTTTTCCCATAAAACTACGACAGCTACAGAGCTGAAAGTTGGCAAGTACCTGCAAAAAGATAGATAGGTTCCCATGACGGAGCCCCGATTTTTAATTTATTAATTTCCTGAATTTAGAAGATATAGGCGACAAAAAGTTCCCGTCCTTCTTTGGCCTTTGTGATTATTCCACTGAGAAACGAAACAAATCTGCGTAGCTGTCCTCCACAGCGGAAGTGCCGGAAGTGATATTTCGCAAGGCGCATTTTGTTTTGAGAGTATAGATCTAGACTTTGTAGCTTTTTGCATCTCTCACGATTTATTGTTCCATTCCAGTAGAGTGTAAATATAGTAGGCCAATGACTTTCATTGATGTTAATGCACCGATCATTCCTTTTATCGAAAGGGGGCCCAGCTAGTTTATAATACGTGACCAATCTGAGTGGAGGTGTCATGTACAGAATCTACC